ATTCAAAATCCAAAGGTGCAGTTCCATTTCATCTGGCGAATAGATTTGCTTGCTCTGCTCTGGTTGACACTTCTGCAATCATCAACAATCTGCATAAATTTCAAATTGATTTTGGAATATTGTATCATGTTTGAAACTTAAAGGCGTTACTTCAGGCCTCTTAAGTGGAGCTTCTCCTCCCAAATGTTTAGTTGGTGGCAGGCATTTACACATGCTGTTTTCTGAATTACTTCAATGTTTACTTGGCATTTACAAGCGTGCCTATGCATGCTCATATATGTAGACACATTCTTAGCTAGTTAGTTTAATGCGAGGATTAATTGATTTGCAGATATGGAAACACCAAGTCTCTTGGCTGAATAAAAAAAAATATCTTCAAACAGAATCCTCCCCAAAATGATGCTGCTTCAATTTGGTATATAATAAAAATGGTATTACATATATATATATTTATTAAAATAGTTTGCAGATGTCAGAAGGGAAGGGAAGGGAAGAAAGGGATACAGTTGTAGATCTGAGGCATTTACTTTTGAAGCCTTGAAGGTGGAGGTTGAGCCAATGAAGTCAACGAACAGCTCATCATAGAGCGCAAGAAAAAGAGGTTTGAATTTGCAACACGAGCTCTTCCCTTAATCGGGAATAGGAGAGACGGTTGGCTAGGATCTGATGAAAGAAAATCTGTTGACTTTTTTACCTCCTCCATTAAAACCCTCTTTAATTCTAGTTTACTCTTTTTCTAAAATCAGTAACTAGGAAAGATACGTTTTACAACTATGAATAAACAAAAAATCTTACTCTCTAATTTTATTTTTTTTTTGTTTATTGTAGTATTAAACTTAGAATTTTTTAGAATCGTAACCTTACAATCGGTATATATATATATTTTAAATGAACATTATTCATTTAAATTCTTTTAAATTTATAATTAAAAATTTTCAGAATAGTAAAGATATATATTTTTTAAATGAACATTATCCACTTAAATTCTTTTAAATTTATAATATCGAGAAATCTGAAATAACACAATTGATTTTAATAAGTGATATGAAATTAAGAATGTGATCAATTGAGTTCGAGTCAATATAATATTAAATTTGAGTTCGAATTTGATTCGAAATTTAAGATGCGAAATTAGGTTTGAATTCGATCAAATTTTAATTTTTTAGTTTAACTTGAGATAGATATTAAGCTACTTAAGTTTGCTTGAATAAATTCGATTAATATATAAAAATAAATTTGATTATTATATTTGACAAAAATTTGATTATTTATGCTAGATTTTAAATTTTATTAATTAAAATAATAAAAATATATTTAAATATAAAAGTTTGATTAGATTCACGAATTACTCTAATTGAATATAAAAATATTCAAATTCGATTCGATCGAAGAACAAAATTATTCGAATTCAAACTTAATTCAATAATAATCGAATCGAATTTAAATTTTATTCGAATTAAATATAAATAATTTATAAATATTAATATATTATTTACATTATTGAATGAAACTTAAACCTTCATATTAAAAAAATAAAAAAGAATAACATCAAACTTCATGAATTCACACAGAGTTTGGATAAATTTGCACTTGGAAAAATATTTATTTTTTTCACCAAAAAATTTCATGGTCATAAACAAAATTGAAATTTCTTTTATCTTGTCAAGTCAAAATATAAGATTTGTGGAAAAAAAAGAAGCAAGGAGTCAAAATCTGATCGAATTCCAATCCAACGACTATTGTTATTGTTGTTATCATTGAATGGAAAGTTGGGCTTTACGTTTCTCTCTCACAAACTCAGTTTCAGTTTTTAGGGAGAAGTAAGGCTTAAAGCATGCCACACGCATGTCCCATATCCCGTCATAATATTTTTGCTCACCTCTCAAAACGCGGCACCTTGATCATCTGCTTCTAGGCTCTAATCTTCTACTTTTAAACGTAAAGTAAAAAAAGGGTTTTCTTTTTCTTTATTTTTTACGTGTCTTTTTATGCTAATATCAAATCTGACGAACCCATTCGACGCCTCCTCCTCCCTTTCTCCGCCACGTGGGGATGCCCGAGCTGAGGCTCTTGCTTCTTCTTTTCCATCGGCTGACCCTCCGCAACTCCCTCCTACCATTGAACCACCACCACCAACACAACTACCGCAGCAACCGCAACAGCCAGACGTTATGATATCCTCTGGGGACCTCGACGCCCTCTTCAGTGGTGGCGGTATCAGGTTCTCTCCCATTTCTCATTTCTTTTTCCTTTTCCTTTTACTAATTAGTCTTATAATGTTAGCAAACAAAGGTGTATCACTTACTAAAATGAAAAGAGAAGTTCTTTTTGTTTGGATAATTACTCTTAGAAGAAGATATAAACACATTTAGTCATAATTTGTCAGCAAAAGTGGTATGAAATTATTTTATTTTTCTTTTTGTTAATACCAAGATATGTATATTATATCATATAATTGTTATAATCTTCAATTTGAAGAAATGACCCTCCATTAATTTCATTGTACAATTACTATCAAATGGGGACTTTCTGTACATATGGCACTGCCATTCATGCACTTGCCCACAATGGTTTTATTCAAAGAAACTAATTCTGTTAAGCATTTTATTTAAATCAATTGTGTTTTGCACTTTTCTTTTTACTTGTTAAGTAACATAGTCCTATTCTTTTTTAAAGATTGATTGGTTTTTATTTTGATCAATCTAACTTTGGTGTTATGGTTCTTAGTTCAGGCTGGAAGTTAAGATATCAGAGGAGTACATAATCGTTTTGTGTTCGAATCCTTTATCACAAGAAATAGGATTTAAATCTGATTGTATTCTAATGGGTACAGATATTTTTGCAATGATTTTGTACTCATTTTGTCGACACACCTGTTTCATATTGATCGCAAATGGGGTTGCATAAGGTCTCAAATTTCTAGAAAAAACTTAAATAAATGGAAGATCAAATTAAATGTGACACTTGGCTCACTTCATGCAAGGTTTCTAACTGGTGAATTGTGTGGATTATCAGATCTAAAATTTTGAAAGTTACAAGGTGACTAAAATGTTGTGGTTCTTTTACCAGCTTTGTTACTGGAAGTCGAACTGCTAAATTCAGCTATGGGTATTCCAGTTTCAAGGGCAAAAGGCCTTCAATGGAGGATTTCTATGAAACAAGGATATCTGAAGTTGATGATCAGATGGTTGCCTTTTTTGGTGTTTTTGATGGTATGCCATCGCTTCTATGCCATATTGCTAACCCATTATATTGTTGTCTTATCATTATTCTTTACTAGCTATATTTTATGGTTTCAATTGCATTCTTTATATGGTGGTTTATGATTGATTTTCTTTCCAATACAGGTCATGGAGGTTCAAGAACTGCGGAATATCTTAAAAAAAACCTTTTCAAGAATTTGAGTGCCCACCCTAATTTTATCAAGGACACAAAGACAGCTATAGGTATGAAGTTGGTGAAGTTTTAGCTTTACTATATGCTGGGGAGTTCCACGATTTGTTTGTATATGTATGTGGAAACATTTATGTATATTTTTGTATATGAAAATGTAATTATATTCCTCTCTGGATATTGAGTAGAACACGCTTTTTATTGCAGTTGAAGCATTTAAACAAACTGATGATGAGTACCTCAATGAGGCGAAAGGCCAGCAAAAAGATGCTGGATCAACTGCAACAACTGTTGTATTATTGGGTGACCGGCTGCTTGTTGCAAATGTTGGTGATTCTAGAGTTGTTGCCTGTAGAGCTGGATCAGGTTGCTGTCTTCTCTGCTAATGCTGGACTTGTTATGATCATTTAATCTAAGAATTTTTATGGTTTAATCTTCAGATTGAAAAGGAATATATAAAATGAAATGAGAATAAAAATTGCTTGCTCCTGTGACTCATGTACCATCAAGTTATAGCTTGATTTTTGTCACATGTTAGAGATGCTATTGTCCTGTTAGCCACTGACCGACTTTGTAGGCTTTGGCTTAATTATTTCTCCCCCATTTAAAAGTACAAATATAAGGTTTGGATTTACCTTAAATGTATAAGATTGACAATATATGACAAGTTTAAATTCTATGGCATTTAAACATCATTAAGTGCTTTTGTGCTTTCTACAGCTGTACCTCTGTCCACTGATCACAAGCCTGATAGATCTGATGAACGCCAAAGGATTGAAGAGGCTGGAGGTTTCATCATTTGGGCAGGTAATATGCATTTTTGCAGTCTTTCATGCCCACATCTTTTCTATCAGATTGCATTGGCTGTATTCTCGTACTGTCATGCCAATGCAATTTCTTGATTTCAATATGTTCCTCTTTGGAATAAACATTTTTGTTTTCTAACTTTAAGATATTTGCTTCGGCTTATGAATTGGTTTTGCAGTTTATTGCAGTAAACAATTATAGATTTCAGTAAACTGTTATATTTGTTGCATAATTGAACTAAAATTTGTGTTGAAGACATTCCCGATTTTTTTCCAAACAATGTTAGGGACGTGGCGAGTTGGTGGGGTTCTTGCCGTTTCTCGTGCATTTGGCGATAAACTACTTAAACCATATGTAGTTGCTGAGCCTGAAATTCAGGTGGTATTAGTGTTTACACACTCTGAAAGTTTGTATTTTTTTATTCAGTTAATTAAGTTGGGTGTGAAAGAAATGTAGCAACAAGTGCAAAACATGTGGTTTGAACCAGTAACATTCTGTTTTCAACTGCTAAAGTTCCTTTGTTTGCTAAGAAAGCATTTTTTTTCCTTACTTTTTTTTCCTTGGTATCTTAGAAAAGTTTTCATCCAGAAGTAATTTTTATGGTTATCACCTTTCCAATGCTTAGGAAGAAGAAATTGATGGTGTAGATTTCATAATCATTGCCAGTGATGGCCTTTGGAATGTCTTATCAAATAAGGTGAGAACTTTTACTGCATTCATATCTTATGGTAAACAAAAGAAAATGTAGAGAAACTTTATATTGATATGTGTTGTTATTTCACAGTAATTGAAATGAAATATAAGCACCTGGGCGTGTTCTTTCACTTGCAGGATGCTGTGGCCTTAGTGCAGGACATAACAGATGCAGAAGCTGCAGCAAGAAAACTTATAAAAGAAGCTTATGCCCGAGGGAGCTCAGACAACATTACCTGTGTTGTTGTCCGGTTTGACAGCTCGTGAACTTGACGAGGTTGTAATTTATCTGAAAATGATCATGTTTCTATTGTGTTCTTCAGACGAAGAGCTTCTATAATCTGTACTCTTTTTTCATTACAGGTTTTGCAGAATATTAAACAGAACAGAAGCTAGAAAATAGGGATTTCCATGGATGCAAATTTTAGCTCCCCTTGGATAATTGCTCTAGTTGATTAGATCAAGAGTTTTCAAGTCAAATTGGCTATAAGTAACAATGTTGTATGTGTTTTAAGATTTGGTTTGTTACAATTATGTAGCAATCAGCTCATGTAAAATTATTGATCTTGCTTAAGGCAGTTGGATGTTTATGATATTGATACAACGCCTACATAATTAAAATGTTTTAGTTGATTTTTCATTGGACCTGATAAAATATGATTATATTGATATAATATGAAAAAGATAATAAAAACTATATAAGTTTGATAAAATTATAAAAAAAAAAAAAGAAAGGTATTTTTTGTTTAATGTGTCGTCATAAATAATGATATTATATTTTTTGGGTTTTATACATGTTACGGACACTATATGAATACACAAGTTGCTAATTTTATTTTTCATTTAAATCTTCATTCATTCCGCTTTTCTTAATACAGTAGTAATCTAAATTAAGTATCATTATATATATTTTTGTCGAGGATTTCACCTTAACTTTGAGTCTAGACTGAACCCAAGAAAAAAGAAAGAAAACCCGATACTTTGCAGTCCATTTTTTTGGCCCATAAGCCTTTTTCGGTCAACCTAAGGCCCATAAGATGTTTTGCGCGAACTTAAGACCTATAGGCTTGAGACAGGAAACCCAACCCCCCAGGGTTTTGGATTTTAAGTCATAGTTCGAGGCTTTTGGTCGGAGCGTGAGCAGAAGAAAACGGCCGACTCAGCCCTTTCATTCTCTTTCTCTCTGTTTGTTTGCCCAGAAAACACTTTCCAGGAAAAGAAGACAGAAGCTGTAAACCTTCGATGGCTTACCAAAAGGAGCTTCTGGTAAGCTCAAAGGCCGAGCTTAAACGGAAACAAAAAGAAAAAAAGAAAGCAAAATCTGGCGGCTTTGAGTCCTTAAACCTCAGCCCTAATGTCTACAGAGGAATCAAGCGGAAAGGGTACAGAGTACCTACTCCGATTCAGCGCAAGACCATGCCGCTTATTCTCGCTGGACACGACGTCGTTGCCATGGCACGGACAGGTTCGGGGAAAACGGCGGCTTTTTTATTGCCGATGCTGGAGAAGCTGAAGCAGCACGTGCCTCAGGGCGGTGTCCGAGCCCTCATTTTGTCTCCTACTAGAGATTTGGCCTTGCAGACGTTAAAGTTTACCAAGGAATTGGGAAAATTTACAGGTTTTTAATTTTTTTTTTATGAAGAGGACTTTTTAACGGTAAATTATCATAATTCTTCATTGATTTGTTATATTTTTTAATAATTAAAAAGTTAAAAACTTTTGTGAATAGAAAAATGCATGATTTTAGCTTTATATGGATCGATTATATTGGAGAATGTTTTACATTCTAATCATATTCTTATTTTTAATCAAATATGATTATTCTTTTTAGCAAATTTTGAGCAATCCAAAAGATAGTAGTAAATTCCTTTAGTCATTGATTAGACTGCTCCTTGTTGAGTTTGAGTGACTATTGAGAGTTGTAAAATGTAAAGAAAATGCAATAAAACAGTATTAAGTAAAAAAGCCTAACCTGTTACTGACATTATCTTTTCATGATTGTAGTATTGGTAATTTGTTTTAACTGACTAAGAATTTGTTTTTGATTGGCCTTCTATCCTTAGTGACAACTTATCAAAATCTGTTGTTTTTGTTGTAGATCTTCGTATTAGTTTGCTTGTTGGTGGTGATAGCATGGAAAGTCAGTTTGAAGAGTTAGCAATGAACCCTGATATTATTATTGCTACTCCTGGTAGACTGATGCACCATCTAACTGAGGTTGATGATATGTCACTTCGTACTGTGGAATATGTGGTATTTGATGAAGCAGATTCACTCTTTGGCATGGGTTTTGCTGAACAATTGCATAAAATCCTTACCCAGCTTAGTGAAAACCGCCAGACCTTGCTCTTCAGTGCAACATTACCGAGTGCCCTTGCTGAGTTTGCTAAGGCTGGTCTGCGAGACCCACAACTTGTGCGGCTTGATTTGGAAACCAAGATTAGCCCTGACCTGAAACTTATGTTTTTTACCTTACGTCAGGAAGAGAAACATGCAGCATTGTTGTACTTGGCAAGGGACCATATTAGTTCTGATCAGCAAACTTTGATATTTGTTTCCACGAAACATCATGTGGAGTTCCTTAATATTTTGTTTAGAGAAGAGGGTATTGAGCCTTCTGTGTGCTATGGTGATATGGATCAAGATGCTCGGAAAATTAATATCTCAAAATTCAGATCAAGAAAAACTATGTTGCTTGTTGTGACAGATGTTGCAGCTAGGGGTATTGACATACCTTTACTTGATAATGTTATCAACTGGGACTTCCCTCCAAAACCCAAAATTTTTGTTCATCGAGTGGGCCGAGCAGCAAGGGCAGGTCGAACTGGTACAGCATTTTCCTTTGTGACAGCTGAGGATATGCCATACCTTCTAGATCTTCATCTATTTCTCTCGAGGCCAATCAGGGCTGCACCTACTGAAGAGGAGGTTTTGCAGGATGTGGATGGAGTAATGAATAAAATTGATCAAGCAATTGCAAATGGAGAAACTGTTTATGGACGTTTCCCACAAAAAATTATTGATCTTGTTTCAGATAGGGTTAGGGAAATGATCGATTCATCTGCAGAACTGATGAATTTGCAAAAAACTTGTACGAATGCTTTTCGTTTGTATTCAAAGACTAAACCTCAACCTGCAAGGGAGTCCATCAAAAGAGCAAAGGATTTGCCCCATGAAGGGTTGCATCCAATCTTCAAAAACTTGCTGGAAGGAGGTGAATTGGTGGCACTTGCATTTTCTGAACGCTTGAAAACTTTCAGGTAATTTCTAAAAGCCTTTCACCTGCAATTGTAGTTGTGCTTAATGTTTTAAGTACTCTGTCTTTTTGGCTTTTGGGTGTTTTCCCTTTTCACTTTTAATATGTGAGATTTTGAAGTTGCAAAATTTTAACTCTACAATTAATATGCACTAGACCCAAGCAGACAATTCTGGAAGCTGAAGGTGAAGCCGCTAAATCAAAGCATTTGCAGGTAACTCTGCAAGTTTTATTTGTAGCATTTTCTTTCTATTGTCATCGAGTAGTTTCTAATTATGTTAGTTCATTCTCTTGCTCTTGGTTCTTACCTTTTTGTCAGTCTGAATCCTCTTTCTTTGTTTCTTTTGAATATCTTTCTTGCATTGTACAATCTGGTATCCTCGGCAATTAGCCTAAATGTTATGATTTTATGTCCCCTCCCAAACTTTTTTTTTTGTGCTTTAGTCTCTAAAATATTGTATTAGATTAATACGCTGAAGATATGATCAAGCATTCTCGTCTCCTTTTGTCTGCACAAAACTATCACACTGAAAAATCATGATGGTTTTACTTTGTGTTTGGTTTAAATTGGTTCGTGCTCACCAATAATGGATTAGATATGCCAAAAACGGTGAAGAGAAACCTGAAGTGGAATTGGTGATGAAGATGAAGTGGAATTGGTGCAAAGTATAAAAACTTTTACAGGATATTGAAGGAGTTAAGTAGGGATAATTGCTTATTCTTAGTATTAAAAGAACTCTTTCTTGCCAAAAGAGGGAGCTCATTTAAAATGTAAACTGGAAACTTCCACATTATTTTCAATTGAATTGTTTGCATTGCTGTTAGTAGGCTGGAAACAAATATTTGAAATTCCTCTTTCACCATGATCAACCATCTCATTTTAAGCTGAAATCTTAATGAAGGAAAATCGTAGAATGTGGAGCAATCCTTTCCTACATTTGAGGTCATGATTTTTGTCTTCCAAGTCTTACAACCTAATAGCACAATGAATCTTTTGGAGTTGGTCATGGCATTGCCACATTTGGGATGAGGGTCGTCTAGCTCTCCCTGTCCCTGAGGCAAAATGTTCTTTCCTCGCTCTTATGAGGCAATGAAATAAGAATTTAAAGTTAGAATTTCTTGATGTTCACTTGAATTATTTGTGCTATATCATTTTAATTTTTTTTTCCTTTACTTTCTGTGTATATCTTCCAACTATCTTTTCTATATTTATTTGTATTCTTCATGATATTCAGAATGTGCTTCTTCAATCATGTAAAATATTACATTAAAGTCATGGCTCATTTGTAGGGTTCCTCTGGTCAGTGGGTTGATGTGATGAAGAAGAAGAGAGCTATACATGAGGATATCATTAATCTGGTTCATAAGCAGCGCTCTAGCAATCACATGGAAAAGGTAATTTTGCTATTTGCAAAATTATTGTTTCCTAACACTAGCCATTGAGTAATTGCTACATCTCCCCCCATCTCACTCACCCTCACAAGCCACACTTCTGATATTGTTATGGGATTCTTGTATGGCAAACAATTTTTCCTGGCTAATTGCCACACCTTTTAGTCATTTTTGGAAGTAGTTCAATAGTGTGAATCACTTTTGTGATCTATTTTCAAATTTCATGGTTGTTTTTGGAGGTTCTAAATGCAATGGTTTTGGCAAAATAGGTTGATTTTGACCTATTTTAGTTACAAACATCGCCGATTATGAATGGATTGAGTTTTTTTTCAATTTTATTGGCCATTAATTTTTTTCAATTTTTAGTATGCCTTTTTTTTTCTTTTTTTCTTTTTTCTGTTCCTTTCTATTTAAGTTCATCTTTTTGATATTTGCAGGAAGTCCAGTCTGAAGTTACTCCTTTGAAGATGAAGGAGATGAAAGGTTTTATCCTCTCCTTTCCCCTTTTTAATCTATTCCTTCTTATTGGAGCTCTCTCTTTCTCTTCCTAACTAAATACCATTTGTTCATTGAGTGTTTTATTTTATTTATTATCTATTTATTTGGGGTGGAAGGGTGAAGAGGGTAACAGGGGCTGCATCTTTTGGTTTGAATTTGTTGAGCTTATCAAAGCCCATAAGAAATATTCATGAATCTTATCTGCCATATCTGTTGGCCAAATGTGAGATCCCTCTTCTAGTGTGGAAAAGGAAACCAACAATTAAACCTGAGTAAAAGTCAGTAAAAAATAGTTAAACAAAAATACATGTAACTAACTATGTTTGTCCAAACAATTAAATTTATTCATTTATAAATGATAGATCTTCTTGGTGATTTTTTTCTTTTTAATGATTTAAAGTTTCTGTACTCTTTTTTTCATATGTTAGAAGCTCGAGGTTCCAAAAGAAAGGCAAAGAACTTCAAGGATGAGGAGTATTACATAAGTTCTGTGCCAACAAATCATGTATGTTACTTTTGTGCCTTTCAACTCAAATTCTTTTCAAATTTGTTGATTTTCCAATAATATTAATATTGGTTGTATTTTCTAATTTCAACTGATCCCAAAGTTATGGGATATAAGGTTTAGCTTATTGTTGTTGTTGTTGTATTTTCTAACGTGTTAAATTTGCTGACTAGTTTGTGTGTATATTGCTATCACTTTCAGCATACAGAGGCTGGCCTCTCAGTAAGAAGTAATGAAGGGTTTGGATCAAACAGGTAAAGTTCATATCCTGATATTTTCTTAGCTCATTCTCCAAGTTTATTCTTCCCCCTATTCTTGCAAGGGGTTTCTGATATGCTATTGTCTCAAGTTTTGGATTGAACAAATCCATAAATTTAAATTTCCTGGAAGGGATTGGAAAGGATGCTTCATGATAAGTCATTAACTTATTATGCTATCTAAATTACTTGTATATTTGACATCTTTTTTAGTCTGTTTGACCTCTCTCCCTCTCTCTTCTCACTTCATATCTGGTAAGCACATTTACATATTCATACTTTGCAGTGGAAGAAGATTCTGCTTTAATCAAGATGTGCATGTATGCTAACACAATGTCAGAAAATGAAATGATTCGAAAATGACTGTTTAATTTTGAACATATGCAATAATTTGGGAGTTATTCCCCTGTCCTGTAATGGTTGGACCTTTGCTCATAATTTTGTTATTTGCAGGTTGGAGTCTGCTGTCCTGGATCTTGTTGCTGACGATGGTGAAGGTTTGCAGAAACAAAAATCCAGATATCATTGGGACAAGGTGCTTGGAACTATTTGAATACTGGTCTTTTATTGTTATCCTATATAAACTGCTTTTTTTTACTCAAGTCATATGAGCCTTTTTTGTGCAGAGGAGTAAAAAGTATGTCAAACTGAATAATGGTGAACGTGTTACAGCTAGTGGAAAGGTATTTTTTCAGCTGTTAATTCTTTTTGTTCTGTCTTTCTGGATGTTCACTTGGTTTCAACTTTCAAGCTTATTGCTTTAAGTTATATATTGGATGCCATCTCAACCATAGCCAGTGAACTATTCTGGTGCTATATGGAGCTATATGGCCTGCTCTTCTGTCATTCATATACATCCTCACATTTGGCTTCAGTTTGTGATGACTTTATTTGCTGATTTTGTACCCATTGGTCACTGTGGTGCAATGTGGAAACCCTCCCCCCTTTTTTTATCGTTTATAAATTTTCATTATAAATAAATTATTCTTGATGCTATTTATATTCTGTCTTATATGTAAGACAGGGTCTTCGAGGTTGCAAACATGCTACTTTGTTGTTTGGACCTCAGAGTTGTAACTGATCTTAGCAACTAGCTTTCCAATGAATCTATGCTAGGTCTTTCTTGTTCTTTACAAAAGAACATTAAGAGTTGTCAGATAACCTTTTTAGGATTGTCTATAACTGCTGTCCTAATGAAGGTGTTGTTTGTTGATGAAGGATTTATATTGATTCATGCAAAGATGATGGATTTGCTCAGTAACTTACCTGGAGGTTTGGGACTTCTCACTTTACTTTTCTGTTGTTTGCAGGTTAAGACAGAGAGTGGTGCAAAAGTAAAAGCTCAGAAAACAGGAATATACAAGAAGTGGAAAGAACGATCTCACAGAAAAGTATCTGTCAAAGGAACAAGTAATGGAGAGAATGCTGAGGAGACGACAAATTCATCAGGTAGGGTTCTCATAGTTTTTTTTTTTTTTTCTTCATTTCATTACTAACTATATGTCCCAGTTTAGTTCTTTGGGGTCGTATGCAACCAAGTCTTGGTGGTGGTTTTCATTCTGTTAATTTTAACTTCTCTCACCATATAAAGAATTTTGTTCAATTTGCTGATTTTTTTCTTGTCTTTCTATCTGCTCTTTTCAAACTAGTTCTGATTCTGCTTTTTTGTAAATTGTTTCCACATTGGCCATAATGTTTGTAGCACCTTATCCAAGTCTCTGTTTTTAGCTGCTAAACTAGTCTTTCCATTATTCTCCCAGCATGATACTTGCTATTGATACCAGATTTTCTTGGTCATCAATTCTTGCATGCTCGCTTGGAAAATAAGTGCACAGTGCTTTTACAAACAGTGAGATGACTGAACAAGTAAATTGAACTTTCTATGGAAGTGCATAGGTTTTTGTGGGCGATAATAATGCCAAATCTGCCATTACCTTTATCCCTTTCCATTTCTCAAATTGAAAGTTGCTTGTAGTAGCAATTAGACATTCCTCTTCCTATTGTATGCAACTAGGCTACCTGGTTTATATTGCTGTTAGTCTTCTGATGATAGAATAAATCCATTTATTCTGAAAAATATTTCATGCAGGAGACTATCGCTCACGAGGTAATGGTAGAAACTTCAGAGGGAACAAGAAATCGCAGCACACTATGCCTAATGCTCATGTGCGTTCAGAAATTAAAGATTTTGAACAAGTACGAAAGGAAAGGCAGAAAAAAGCTAATAAAATATCATACGTGAAGGGCAAAGCCAACAAGACCAAGGGTAAAAAACCGGGCAGAAGTGGAAAACGAGGAAAGTCCAAGTAGTAGAAGCTTGCGAGATTTGATTGCAAAGAGATTGTTGCAGTTTTAGAGTCCACAAAAGCAGATGACATATAGCTTCTTACTAGCAAAATCAAAGGGGCTCGAAAATGTTGACCTTCCAACAATTTTTTTTTTAATGAGCATTAAACTTAACTGCTGCAATAGTATCACAGATGATGCTCATTCCCTTTTTATTGTATTGAGTTAGTTGGGTCTTATTTATATGCCACACAAGGGTTTTTTTTCCGCCTTGAGGAAAAGCTGGAAGCTGGAAATTGTTAGATAAGTGGACGTTATTTCTGTTTGGTTGAGGGGCAAAAGAATGTGATTTATGACCTTATTATTGCATAGAAATGCAGGGAATATGCTTAACAAATTTGTAGGTACATATGTGCATCCACTTTTATATGTTCTTATATTGTTTTTCAACTCATTGGGCTCTAAATGCAGCAAATCCATGTGAGGGCTGTATGCTGCATGAATTTTCCATGCATCCAAGACAGTTTAGGCAATATTAGGTGTAATGCAATTCATGATTTGTTGCAGGAATGAAGGCAGATTCCAGCTTCATAGGCAGTACAATACTCAATGGGCATGGATTTAGTACCAAACTGCTTATGTATTAAACAAGTCATCATTCACTACACCAGCAGAAAGATATCCAATGCAATTGGTGCAGAAAGCAAAGCTGATCAAATGTATTATTCAATTCTCGAGTTGCCTAAAGGGCTTCAACTTTGATGCTATAAGCAGGTTTTCATGATGTTTGCTATTCACTTTTGTCATAACGATGCAGCATTTCTTTGACTAGTATGTTAGAAAGTATAATTACCATGTTTTTCTGGGCCCTCCCACAGCCAACAGCTAATGAGTAGGGATGGTGGGAGAATCTGTATAATTTTGATTTGTGCGTCATTTTTTAATGGAAAACAGTTAAGAATGATCCTAATAACTTTCAACATTGGCAATAATGAACTGATTTAAGCATTAGTTTCATTCAGGGGCAATAACAGGCTATGTGATGATCTCTTCCTTGTATAGAGGTTGATTCATCTTTGCTACCTTTATTTCAAAAAAGGGTTAATATAATGAATGGGTCTTGAACAATAATGAAGTCTATAATGTGGTATTTACTTGAATTTTATAAATTTTTAATGTTATATTTGATTTATAAATTTATTAATTAATATGTGATATTTGAAATATAAATTTATTATAATTTTTTAAATATTACATTAATTAACAGATTTATAATTCAGATATTAATTAAAAAATTTTAAATTTGAATATCATATTAAATATTTTACTAATTTAACATTAACCCTTCTACAAAATTATATACTGGCCAGAAAAATTCCAGGGATACAATTCGTAATGTGAAAATCTTTTCCTTGTATAAAAAATATAATACTCAATTTTATGCAGATGAAATTCAAAACTTTACACGCAACGGTTCAAGTTTAAGAACAGAACAACCTAGAAAACAAGTAGCCATGGCAGCCCTGAATGGTATCAAATAAAGGGACCGTTTGGCAAGCATCCTCAACAGGACGATCCATCCATTTTTTGGACATAGCTTCAGCAACAGGAGCAATCTGATGCTGCAACACAGCAGCACCTAAAGGTCCAACTAAATTCAACCTTGTTGCAGCTGAAATAACATCTCTCATAGTCATAAACATGTAAGCCCTTTGACTGGTTCCACTGTCCATCCCTAAAAGTCCAGAGATAAGCCCAAAGACAGGAGCATGGTGGAAAGAAACAACCCCAGAGCCAATAGAAACATCTCTCATCGATTTGAGGGATGGAACTTCAGTAAAGACAGAAGCCGCCACTCTCATGAGGGAAGATCCTTGTGAAACTGATGCCTTTCGACCCACTTCATTAGTTAAAATTGCATCTAAGATTGTGTCAAGTTTCTGCCAGTTCTCTAAAGTAGGATTCGTAGTTGTCGAGTAAACAAAAGGTAGGAGTAAACTCCCAGTATTCTCTAACAAATGAATGATAAAATTTTTCAGATTGTCAGGGCCTGAGACTATACGTGCCTGAATTGCTGCCTCAAGACCAAAGGAATGAGCAAACCCACCCGTGGGAAGAATAGAATCCAGGAGTTGCCATTGGCTCCACTGCAAAATAGAGTCTCCCTTTCTGATTTTGTCTGTTTGAACCAAATCTTGCTCCATTGGAAGACAGCAATAACCCGCGCAGTGAATCAATCTTGATTAATCTCTCTTTCTGTACTTCTGGGATCTTTTTCCTAAGGAAAAAAGAGCAAGCTCCTTTGACCTTCACTCGAATGAGCAGACAGATGAGAAAAGTAAAGAAAAGAGAGCAAAACAAGGCCCATGCCTTCGACTGCCGAAAAGCTATGGCCCTTTATTCGTTGAACATGTCGACAACACAATCGTAGCAGCCCCACACTTTTTGCTTTGGGATGGTACAGCAAAGACTATTTTTTTATTGGGCTAAAATGTGAGTTTCAATTCCTTATCCAGCCTGACAAGAACCCCACATGACTGGCCCTACTCTCAAAAATCTCATACCTGATAGCCCACCAAAAAAGATCAAACCCAGCCCACCGACAGCTCTGATAACTTAAAAAGCAATAAAAAAGAGTAGGCGTTTTCATATGATAAGCATCATTATATTGACAGTTAAAATACTGCTATTCTCCCGCGAAAAAGCAGTTTTCAGGTATTTGTTTAATGCAGTGAAGAACTGGAAAGGCAAGAGAAGCTCGTGGCCCTCACTAAGTTGCCACCTCTTTCACACTCACTTTTTTACTTTGTTCCTTCTTTTTCAATTCGTCTCTTTAACGGTTAATATCCCAAGCTTTGCAACGCTGTCCTCCAAGAAGCTGGGGCTTAGTACTCACCATTGAGACAAGGATCAAGAAAAATGGTGAAGGAAACTGAGTACTATGATGTTCTTGGTGTTAGTCCATCAGCTTCCGAGGAGGAGATTCGAAAAGCTTATTATCTTAAGGTTTGGAATTTTGGGATACTTTCTTTTTCTTATTAGTAATTGGTTTATGTTTTCAATGGTTTTAAGGTTTTTATTTTATTGGTAGTTGGTTTTGACAAGGATGTTGTCATGTTCTTAATCTTTATATTATTCCATGATTTATATTCTCTAGTATTTCTCACTAGAATAAGCTTTAGTTTCCATGGCATGATCAAATAGAAGAATGAAGTAAGAAATTGTTTCTTTATTTTGTTTGTACTTATCTTCTTCTATTGTGCTTTCTAATGTATTTATTGAATCTTGATCCTCCTTGATGATCATCTGCATTCTTTTCTCTCCTTTCTTCTTTTTATTTTTTTCCAAATATTTTGAAGCTAGATCTTGTTGGTCTAATAGAAAATTTTGCTTGTTAGTCTGAGTGCCTCTATGGGAGAGGAAGAGGTTGTTATAATGGAGGAATGGATATTGGAAATCATTGAAATTCTGATTGTTAGATGATGATAAGACCTGATACGTTTTAAGAATCGTGCTCTTTCATGGCTTCTTAATATTTTCCTCCCTAAACACAAAATTTAATTAACTATATAGTGATAGTCAAGAATATTATAGCTAGGTGTTATTATTGGTACAGGCAAGGCAAGTTCATCCAGACAAAAATCCAAATGATCCTCACGCTGCTGATAGATTTCAGGTAAGTTGACTAATATTGTTGCTAATTTTAGTTATTTTTCCACAGAAGAAGTTCTTTTACCCAATACAGCCACTTAATGAAAGGGAAAATTAATGCATTGATGATCTTCATTTCTCCAGGTATTAGGTGAAGCTTATCAAGTTCTGAGTGATCCTGTTCAAAGAGACGCATATGATCGAAATGGAAAATACAGCATATCGAGGTATGACATTCACATTGGTGTTGATCATACATGTTTTAAGCTAGGTTAAGTTCTGTTTTGTTTTGTGACGGTTAGGGTGGCACTGTATGAAAATTGATCATTATTTTTCAGTTTCTGATGCTTAATGATGAAGCTACCAACTAGCTCTGTTTGCAACTTGGAACTTGCAGAGTTGCTTACTGTGCAGATTTAGAGATTTCATTACTTTTACTGAGTCTAGGCATGCAGCTGGGCAGAAGATATTCAGGCCAGATGATTGTCTGGATTTGTAGAATTTGAATGTTATCCTATCTTAAGAATTTTATTTTCACTTCTTTGAGCTTTGTTAGGCAGCTCTATGCATTCTTCAGATGAATATATTAGCAACCAAGAGCACTCAATACAAGTTCTCTTGCATCGTTTTGTCTGACGCTAACTTTATTTTTAGTTGACAATTGTGATGAGAGATTGGCTACAAAACTAGGGCAGTTGATAAAGAGAACGCTTCCATTTAGTGGTAGAAATAATAAATTCAACTAGATATATATTTGCGGCAAACACTGAAAGAAAAATCAAAATGGAACACTCCGCAATATTCCAAACCCCAAAACTTCTTTTCTGGGAAGGCCTGTGGTATATTTTGATAAACTAATAGTAACAGTCAACAAATTGAATCCTGGACACCAAAAAAAATATGCTTAATCTATGACTAAGTTTTCTATTTTAAGCTTTACTGTTAGTTGCATAATCATCTTTAGAACTTCATTTTGCTCATCTATAACTTAATATCTAACCCTTGGTTCTTAACAACAAGATGTTAGCTGTGCAACTATTTTAACTTTTTCCTATCTTTTTTTTTTTTTTTTTGAGCATCCATATTAATAACTACTACTCTTTCTAAAGGATTTTCTAGCCTGCTAATGATTAGGCCTTTTTGTTCTCAGGGAAACCATGCTTGATCCAACAGCAGTCTTTGCTCTTCTCTTTGGAAGTGAATTATTTGAGGACTACATAGGACATCTTGCTGTTGCATCTATGGCATCTTCAGAACTAGCCGGTGAAACAGACAATCCTGAAAAACTGCATGATAAGTTGAAGGCAAGTTTGCTCCCAGGTTAAACTAATTCCTGAACATTCATTCTATGGAAATGGATGGTCAGTTCTTATCATACATCAAATCAGATGAATGTATGGCAACTGGCAATATCAATTTTTGTTCTTCCTTGATATGATTATCTTTATTAAAAAGTTGCTTGAATAGTAGCAATCCTAGTCTGCAATAAGGGTAGTACGCAGCTGTTAAATAACGGCCTCGAATGTCCTTTCTTATAATCAAAGTCGTGCCCTGACTTCTTAAACTCCAACTTAGCAAACGGAAATATTTACACCAACATGGTGACTTGTAGATTGTGAAAACAAGTTTAATGTCACAAAGAGAAACAATGTAGGCTAACTGTTTCCAGTAGTAAATCTGAACTGAGATTTGGTGAATCCTGTCTGGTAGTTGACATGGCCAAAACTGATCAAACTCTTTAGTGTTACAGAATAATCGGGTTCTTTGTAGTTTCTTATAACACATTTTCTATAATCTATAACAGCGCTTTTGTTGTGCAACCTTTGATGCAGGCTGTTCAAAAGGAAAGAGAAGAAAAGCTAGCAAGATCATTAAAAGATTTTGTTAGCCAATATGTCCAAGGTGATAAAGATGGATTCTTTCAGCATGCAGAATCTGAAGCTAGACGGCTGTCTGATACTGGTAAATAGAGTTACCAAAGCATATCCAGGTTCCGCTTTTTATATTTGACATGTACTGTTAATGAGAGGCATTTTCTTGTGCTAATTAAGTGTTGAACTGCTTATTTGTGTCTATCGAGCAAAATTTTAAATTATTTTATGTGTCTACATTCAGAACTTTACAAAATAAGGATCTTTACATGGCAATGGATGAAAATCTCAATGACTGCCCCTCAACTGTAGCCCAAACATTTCACTCCTCTTACCCCAAAAAATGTGACTAAAGTGCTATTCTCAGCTTTGTGTTCTGAGGTAGCCTGAAAATAATCTTAAAAATTTCTTATACAAATCAGCCTAAACCAGAAGTAGTATCTATCAGTCCTGATCCTCTGACAGATTGGACAATTCTATGGTTCAATGAGTTTAACGGCAGCAGATCATTGCACTAGCCTTCTGGTACTTATCCACAATAAATTTTGATGTTAGTAATCTCTATTGGCTTGAATTTGCAGCTTTTGGAGTTGATATATTACAAACTATTGGCTACATATACTCAAGACAGGCAGCCCAAGAGCTTGGAAAGAAAGCAATCTATCTTGGTGTACCGTTTTTAGCTGAGTGGGTTCGCCACAAGGGACATTTCTGGAAGTCACAGATTACTGCAGCAAAAGGCAAGTTAAAAAAAATTTATAAGCACCCTTCCCCATTTTGCTCCTCCAACTAACCAAAATCAGTACTGCCTGGAAGTTTTGTCTACCACTGATATGGTTAGAAATAACTGCAGGCGCTTTTCAGTTACTGCAACTTCAAGAAGACATCCGCCGGCAATTTAAAAGGGATGCTAGTGTCCCTCGAAATGATGTTGAATCACATATACGCTTAAATAAGGAAACTTTGATGAACTCATTGTGGAAATTGAATGTCGTGGATATAGAAGTAACCCTTGTACATGTGTGCCAAATGGTGAGTTTCTGTGTATCTTAGTGAAGTTATACTTGTTCACTAGATGGTCATTTCATATAGCTGGATATCTTTGCTATCTGTGGATTGTCTAGCGGAATTATACGCTAAGAAAACCCTTGCAGTGTGGAGATTAAGAAATTTGGTTAAGGCTTTTTTGAACTCAACTCAAGGAATATTTACTACTTTAAAGTAGCCCATCTTTGTACTTTTAAGTGAAAGGATTCTGTATAAGTTCTGACAATCGGTTTACAGGTGCTGCGAGAAAATAATGTCAAGAAGGAGGAACTCAAAACTAGAGCTCTGGCTCTGAAAATGCTTGGGAAGATATTTCAGGTGAAGAATTCATTAAATTAGCAAAAGAAACCACGTTTGAATTTTCATCAATATGAGTCAAATTTGTCATTTATTGTATTCTTTATGCTTGTTGTAGCTGAGGCCTAAAAGAGGCTAACAGTGTAGATATATATATATATATATATATATATATATTAAACATTCACATTTTTTGGTGTAAAATAATATGACTGAACTGAAAATGAACACCAAGAGAGTGGAGAAGGGGGGCAAAACCTAGACGTTTATGGAGTTTCGAGTGTCATTTGCCTTCTTTCTTTCCCTTTTTTTCCCTGGCAGGAGAAATGTTTCATTTGTAGCTTCCGATGATGGTAGGAAGCCAAACATACTAAGAATGCACAATAAGGAAGTATTCATATTCTATCATATGAGATCATTTGGAAGAAACCGAAGGAGATTTACGCTTTGGACATTATTTGACCAGGAACAACAAGCTCAAAATGGTGGAACATCAAGGAGGAAAAATGTTGCTGAAATAGATGATGATGATGATGACGGAAGCAGTTCCGACGGCAGCAGTGAAGAGGAGTCACCTAGAGCACTTTCGTACCGAACTCCTTTTCTCACTCAGGCATGTTAGAATTTCTTCAGGACTAATATATGAATGCATATGCAATTTCATTCATTTTTAATTTTGACACAGAAGCATGATAATAGCACATGATATATGTGCGCAAACCCTGAATGAATGACAAGAAAAGATTCCCTGGTAATTTAAGAAATTCTATCAAGAACTTTGTCAGGTTAAGACAATAGTGTCTAGCTTAACTAATCAGATTTTGTAAACTAATCTGAAATCGTTTAGTCTGTTGAATCATGGGTGATTATGATTGCTGTAAAACTTTCAAGTGATGATCAAGAAATAAATTTGGATATATTGGACATTTTCCTAGGATAACTTCAGAATTTTGGAAAAATTATGGTAAAAAGTTAGTTTTGAGTTCTATTAAACATCATTTTCCATTGATACTCTTGTCGTTGACATAAACTAGTAGATTGTGGCTAGTAACCAGCTGTAGAGACCCACCAGTTTTAAATCTTACTGCCCTTGAAAATCTACTGAAGAAGAAATTAAGTGAGGAAGCAGAAACTTTAGAAGCAAAAGAAATTGTTTTTTTTTTTTTTTTGGCCAATAGGGAAATTGTGCCTGCTAAATTTCTTTGCTAAACGGGAGATTTGACTCTTTATCAAATGGCATTCTTCTTCCGGAGATCCTCGAACTGACAAACAAATCTATCAAATGCATTTGAAATGTTACAGTCATTGATTGTTTTGAGCTCAGGATTGCACACCTAACTGTTTACTCAGAATTTTTCATGTTCTATAAATTAGCGATCAGTTTTTCTTTTATCAAATTCCTACTGGCATCACATGGAAGTTCAACAGCAAGAATTTTACTATAACCTATGTGTCATTGCCACTATCTGCAAAAGAAGAATTATGCTAAAATGTCAAATAAATTGCCAATAGTAGGATCTGGTGAATGCATATTTATGAGTTGTTTCATTATCTCGCAGGGTATTGGTAGACTCTTCAGATGCCTCTGTAACCCAGCATTTGATGTGGATGATGATGAAATTGTGTTCAAAAGCAAATGATTGCATGTGTATGTTTGTAAATTAGCGTTATCGGACGGTGGCACTATCAATTTCTTGCCCCAAAATGTCATAAAAACGAAGACGTTTTCTTGCAACACCATATTCCTTGCTGATGACTGTCAAAATTTGTGCTTGATTTCTCACTAAAATGAAAAAAGAAAAGAAAAAGAAAAACTAAGGAAAAGAATACTCTCTGCAAAGACTTTTAATAGTTTGGGATTTAAAAAAAAAATTATAAAGTTAGGCTTTTTTAATGATGCCTGTCATCTGAATGCAATCGTGATAGCCATTTTAAGAGAGTGGCTTTGGGCTGATATCTTCACAGTGCTCTTGGGGTCCTGTGGCCAGAGACTTCTAGAGCTCTAGGGTTTTGTCCTCCACACAAAATTCTATTGAACTAACTACTAAGCTATAGGTTAAGATGAATCAATGATCTAACATCATTCACCTAAGAAGGAAAAGCAAAGTATACGTTACCAAGTAATTTGGTGTTAGGAATTAATATATTCTCTCTAGTCCACATTTTGTTAGCAAAAAGAAAGTTGCTCTCCACAGTTAGTCACTATCATGATACTATTTTAGCATTCTCGTGCGGCTAAAGATGAAGTTGCTCATCATGCTTCTTGAAGCATGCAGGATGTTAAGAAACAGTGTTTACAATTGAATTAACTTCCTGCGTTGGGATGTAAACTCTCTCAGCCAAGGCCTTCCATTACATCATATCATTAGGTTCAAAGACAAGGTTTCACAATTGAAGCGAACTGTCAATGAGATTAGGGACAGAAATGAACGCTGCCGAGTTTGATTGCTTATGAATGTTGCTATGGTTAAGGCTATAGGGACACAAAACCAACCACCCTAAAAATACTTCGCTTTACTTGCATGCAAGTTCAAGTTTCATTATTAAAACCACAACCAGTCAAAACAGATACTTGAAAACAGTATAGTTTTGGCTTCCAAAAGCCAAATAACGCATAATTACAAATCAAAAGGGCGGATATAACAATTTCAAAGTGTATCCAGCCCATGCTGTACGACAAGATAATAAATATGCACTTCTCAACACAATCCTATTTACAGGGAGGGAACCTCGTCCTTGGTTTTTTTGTTTGGCCAGGCGGAAATCTATTGTCTCTAAGCCCTTGGATAAGAAAAATTACTTACAAAATCAACATTGGCATCACCTTCAATGAGCTTTATGGAGAACACTGTTCAGCGTGCGGTGTGCATTGACAGCACAAGCACAATGCACAGACGTTAAATTCAAGCAGCCACTCATGACAAGGGAATGCCTTCCAGAGCATGTGTGAAGAGCAGGGAATGTGTCACATAATGCCTGAACAGCTGAAGGAGTCAGTGCAGTACACTGGCTTATATTGAGACTTCTAAGACCTTCCTCGTCATATCCACCCTTCATGGACTGCCACATCGAAGGCTTATTCTTCACTCGGCTGTGAGCCAGTGAGTAAATTGCCCTGTCTGTGATATTCCGACAATAGTACAGATCGAGTGACCTCAAATGAAGACACTTATTTGCCAAAGCAATCACGCTATCATCTGCAATAAAAATTTAGAAGTTCATCAATCTTCATCTTCAAATCATGCCTTAGTTACCTTCCATTCTTGATATTGAAAATGGTAAATATGCTTAGTTATTGAATGAACAAATAATATGTCAATCTGATACTGCTACTATTTTACGAGTAAGGTCCTTTCTTCCACATGTCTGTAAAACTTAGTCAAAGGGTTAGTTTCTAATTCAACAAAATTTTAGAAAAATAATTGTGTTCTATTCACCAAGATATCAAGTTTTAGGAACGTAGGAGTGAAATGTTCTTGGAAGACTGAACATAAGCCTGCTTCACATGCTCGAAGTGATAATAAAAATTTCTTAATATAGGTAGACCACTCTCCTGAAAACCTTCACATATTTTCCAAATTGGACCATCTTAAAAAGTATAGGGAAGCCAACTTAAAGTCAATAAATAGACAGTATATATTTAAATAAGAATGCATAATTTTTAAATTGGGTTTATGGGCTACCATTGGCACTAGATGCTGCCTATTCATTACCATTGCAGCTATCCTGTCTCAAGGCATAGAAGGCTATACATGGAAGCAACATGCTATGTCAAGTTATATAATCCAAAGGGAGATGAATTGGGCTAGAGAATTAGAACTTAGAACAAAAAATAACATGTCACATCAGAGGTGGCCCAAACCTAAGCTGTGATATACTACATTATGAATACCAAATAAGCAACCAACGCAATGAATACCTGTTATGCGGACACAGCCACACAGGTCCAGGTATCTGAGATCAGGGCATCCATAAGCCAGACTCATAACTCCTAGATCACCAACATTGTCACACCATCCCAGATTTAAAGATTGCAACATATTGCAGTTTTGTCCAATAGCCTGCGTATAATCGATTCAAGCAAATCATTTTTTTAATCAGCAAGTAAACAATAACTAGTCAGAGTACTGTTCATACCTGCAAAGCACGGTCAGTTGCAGCTTTAACACATCCACAGATATTTAATATTTTTAGTTTTCGACAAAACTTAGTCAAATATTCAAGAGCTTCATCACTGAATGATGCGCAGCCACTGATATTAAGTTTTGTAAGGTTAGGACAACCATGGGCCAATGCATACAATGAGCGATCGCCAAGCTTGAAACTTTTGCTGAGGTCCAGATCCTGCAGATCGTGACAAAAATTTGCAAAAGTCTCAACAGCATTGTCTTCTAGCTGTGGGTTCTCTTGGCGCAGAATAAGAGTTTGCAATTTGGTAAATTTAGGAGAAAGAGATAGAACCAAGTTGTTCATGTTCTTTCTGCACCTGAAGCCAAGACGCACAACCCAGTAATTAGCAAGTAGGATATTAAGGAACGAAGACACAAAGAACAAGTCATCAGCTATCTTACCAAAGACAAGGAATAAACAAGGAATTAAAGGATAAAATAAAGAAATGGGGCACATGTCATTGCTAAAACAATTCAAATTGGAAAATAACTGGCCAGGAGAAAAGGAAAAGAAAATTTATTAAGTCGCATACAGGAGAGGAAAAGCAACAAACTAAAACTACACACAACAACAATCTAAATACAGCTAAGCAGAGTATGAAAAATTTTTCGGCCGACAAGTTAGATTTAAGATACCTCAAGATCTCCCCATCTAAAACAAGCTTTACCTATCATTATTAAGATTAAGGCTCCATTTGGTAGGAAGGAAAGAAAGGGGTAAGTAAGGAAAAAAGTTAATCTAATGGTTGAGCTTCATAACAACAAGTACTATTTTGTAGCTCAACCATTAGGTCATAGCTTTTTTCTTCTTTACCCCGTTTTTTCCTTCCTACAAAATGGAGCATAAATGTTTTGCATGTTATAAAATTATCAGATGGGGCACAAAAAAAATACCATAAGCATGAATATACAGTAACAGAAAATTGATCAACCCAAGTTGGAGACAGATTTCTGCTCATGTATTGTTTTATCCTGTCTATTCAGAAACAAAAGTACTATTATTTATTCAGGAACAAATGTCCTAGGCATAACAAACTCGAGAAAGCTGCATACATGTTTCAAAATCAACCAAACACCAATACATTATTTGTAAACTTGTATCCTTTATGAAGGTTCTACAAAATCAAAAGCATAGTCAAATAGATATCTGAAGGTATGCTACTTCATGCTATGAAGGTTAAATTTGACCAGGACAGACCACCCTGGCCACTTTTACAGTGTTCCAAATCATGCAAGTTTGCTGGTTAATCATAACTCAAACACTAAGTGACCAGTGCAAATAGAAAATCATGGATCTAAGGCTAATCGAAAATGGAAATTTATGAGATTAACTCAGCAAACTTTTGAGGAAGATTGAAAAACCTTAAGGATACTTAAAAACAGAGACTGAAGCAACAGTTGGTTCATTCTGATGACTCTAGCAATGCGGATCAATTCAATATCTTGAGCACTTCATGGAGAATGGTTTAGGCCTCTTGCTACCTATCAGTTGGAGAAACTAGCAATTCAGAAAACTCACATTTCCTCAAGTTGGGATTGATGAATATGAACAGTATCTAGAATTGATACATGCAGAGAGAGCACCAACATGGTCGTCAAGGATATAGCATCAAGAAGAAGGTGTGGATTACAGTCATAGTACTTAGAAGATCCCCCTTAAAGCTATAAAAGAACCACGAACTGACAATCCATTATCTCAGAAGGCCAGACATATGAATCTCTAGGCTGCAATGCGTCCAAAACTGCTAAAAGCTTTTACCTTAGAGCTAGAGATAAAAAAACACAGAACAGTAAATGCCTTTCTTAATGTTATATTAACTTCTCTCCCCGCTATATTCATAACTCTAGTTCACACAAACAAGAAAAACATTATTCGTTATCTTAAGTCTTAGCACTAAAAATGTTTTCAGAAAACATAATATGTGTTTGCTTGTGCCAGTATTCATAAGATATATCAGAAGAAGATATTTTACAAATTGTAAATTACTCGGTAGTTCTAATCTTATAACTATTTGAGAGATAATAATAGTTAACCAACATTACAAATAAAAAATAAACATCAAACAATTGTTAACGAGAAAAAAGAAAAGCACAAGTACTGGTATTTTATAAAGAGTAAACAGTGAAAAGATCATATACCAGGAGAGACACAGTTGTGTGAGGCCTAAGCAAATGGCATCCCTCCACCCACAACAAACACCAGAAGCAACAATAACAGTCCGATCATCGACTAGAGAGACAATTCTCAACAGCAGCTCCATAGGAATATCTTTCCACTTGGTGATCACCACACCCTCCATCTTAACTCCCTCACCATTCTTTCCACCAGCAACCATCATAAGCTTCTTAAAGCCCAAGCTCAAGTCTTCACTTCCTAACTTTGCTTCACCTATCATTTCACTCTCTTTTTTTCCCACCACTGCCTTTTACACAAACTTATATGTATATGTTTTGGGATCGATACTAATTTGCTTGGCCCTATAACCCAAAATAAAAAAGAATAAAGTTAGAATAGAGGGAAAAAAATTGAATTCAGTGAACAAAGCCCAGTAAAACAACAAGTGTCTAGAAAAAGCAATTGAATCCACCTGTCAAAACCATAAGAAATTTGCAGAAATGTAACTGAGGACCACAAAAGCAATCAAATTCCAGAACTTTTCGAATATTTTAAGTACCCCAATCTAAAATTTTGCCATCCTTTTTAGTTTTAACTCTTCTGGTCATATAAAAAAACAGTTTGTTCGAAAGAGAAGCAAAAAGAAGCATGCTGTTATTTCTGGTAGCAGAGTTGCTCTGCTTCTTTGGATTTTCGGAATAAAAAATTTTCAACTATCCCAAAAAAAAAAAAAAACCATCTCAACAAATTGGATATCAGAGTGACAGCCATAAAAAGAATTGCAAAAATGATCAGTGAAAAAGGAAAGCAAAACAATCCCATTTATAATTTATTTGATTGTATGATTGCAAAATCAACATTTCTAGCTAAAAATAACAACTTTATAACTTAAGAAGATGATCTTTCATGTAGAAGACTAAAATTTAGCCCGCTTCAAAATCAGCAACTCAATTTATCCAACAAAAAGAAATGGATGAAACAAGAGATAATTCCCAATAACAAAATTTAATTAAAAAAAAATAATGGAAGACTGAAATTGTGGTCATACCATTTCTGGGTTTTCTTCGTTTTCCGGCTTTGTTTTGTTACAAATTCGTTTCTTTTTTGTTTCCAAATGAGATAAACAAAGCAGCAAAAACAAGATTTATAGACAAAAGACAGAGGGACAGAGAGAGTGAGAGTGGCGAAATTTAACGTGCCACGTGTCAGAAGACACTTGATGTGATAAAAACGTAGTGGGACCTAGAAAAGAAAGAGAAATTACGAGAAATTCGAAGCAATAAAGTTAGACAAGAATTTAAAAAAAAAAAAAAAAAAAAAAGTAGGGGCCAGTTTGAGGTTAATGTACAAAGTTCCTCTTTTGTTAAAAACCGAAGCTGCACCGCAAAAGCAATCAATAAAAGATTACGTCTGTAAACATCAATTTGTTAAGAATAAATAAATAAATACGTAATATAAGTATAAAATATAAAATATAATAAAATAATATGAAATAATATAAAAAAATAAAAAAAATAGAATAGAACAAAAAAATTAAGGATGACACTGGTACCATCCTCGGCACCACTACCACCACCCATACCACCAGACCCTACACCTCACTCTTCTGATTACTATACCATACATTCCACCTTTCTAATTACTCTTTCCGTTGACAAAACTATCGGATATGACCAAAACTAATAAAAGAGGCATGAGGCTCGTGCTTACACCAGTGTCGAGCCCCATGCCCTTTCCCTCAAACACACATGACTGGAGCTCTATAAATAGAGCTCCTAACGAAGCAAAAAAAAAAAGAGAAAAAGGAAATAGACGTTGCAAAAAAAAATGAAAAAAAATACACAAAAAATACACATCCTCCTGTAAGGAGGCACCCAGTACCTAGAGCTTCATGCACAAAAAAAAGGGTCAGTTTCATAAAAAGAAAAAGAGTCAAAATACATAAAAAAATAACCTCACCAAAACTTTGAAAGCAGATTTATGGAAGTGGACACTCCTTTTGGTGAAAAGGAAGTCAGATCTGTGCTCAGGGGCTCGAGAGGAGTTTGTGAGAGTTTTTTTTGAAATTTTTGACAACCGGCTACGATGGTCGGAGATCACCGCCGAGAAGACCACGACGGCCGTCACGACGGATGGCCACCGGCACCAGGTCGGCTTGAAAAAAAAAACAGAGGAAGAAAGATTTTTTTTTTCGAAGGAGGAAAGAATGAATGGAAAAAAATTTTTTTGCTCTTTTATATAAATCGTCAGAACCAAAACGACGTCGTTTCATTAAAGGCCCAAAATGATGCCGTTTAGGTCAAAGAGGATCCACGCGTCAACCTGCGACCCTACCCGAGGTCCGCGCACTCGACTCGATGACCTGCTTCTCCATCAGCCTCTGATCGATCTGACTGGATCGAAACTGAACCATCCAGACCGAATCGAACTGGTACTGAACCGTCTAGACCCAGCCGAACCGTCAGACCGAACCACCAAACCGAACCGCACGTTGACCGGACCATTGACTGGTCCGGTTCAGGTAAAAAAAAGTTTTTTTTTGAATTTTTCTTGTTTTTTATATGTTATTTTATTAATATTTATGTATATTAAAATAATTATATTTGTTAGATTAAGTGATGAAATATGTGGTTAAATTTTTTATAATTTTGTTAATTTTTAAAATAAACTTTAAAAACAAAATAATATATATAAAAATAAATTTAATAATAATACTAAACTAATAAAAAATGTAAGAAAAAAATTTTTTTATCCGACGATGAGATTCAAAGATATTTCGAGTAGTGATGCCTACGAAATCTCTAGGTGAGAAGATTTTTTGTAAAATATTACATGTGTATTGAAATATTTATAGAAAATCTTCAATCTAATAAAAATTTCATTTTTCTTCAAATTTTTAAATAAAAATTTAATTTTTAAATTAAAATTTAATTTTTAAATAAAATTTCTTTTTTAAAAATAATAAATAAAAATTGATTAATATATTAAAATAAGTAATAAAAATGAGAAGGAAAAAAATTTAATCCAATGATGGGATTCTAAAAGTATTTCGAGTAGAGATGCTTTAAGAAATCTCTAGGTGAGAAGATTTTTTATAAAATATTACCAGCGTATTGGAATATTTATAGAAAATTTTTAATATAATTAAATTCCTTTTTCTTCAAAATTTCAATAAGAATATTAATAAAATAATTAATAAAATTTCTAAAAAAGGAGAGTAAAATGTGTGCATAAACATGGAAACATTTTGCATTGCATGCATGACATTTTTTACGAAAAGTAAATTTGAGCCTCCAAGGATGAGATTCTAAGGTATTCCGAGAAGCGATGCCTAAGAAATCTCTAGGTGAGAAAAAGTTCTTCTAATGTTACCAACGTACTGAAATATTTTAAGAATTATTTCAATAAAAAAGGTTTTAATTTATTTTTCTCGAGAATAAATTTTTTTTGTCTAATAAATAAAAAATCAAGGAAATTATTTTTTTCGAACATCGAAAATTGGACTATTTTTATCAAAATCCAAGAATAACACATTGTTAATTGGTACTGTTTTTAACGGACGTTGTGGGGGTGCTAATCCTTTCTCACACGTAATCGACTCCTAAACCCAGACTGTTTCGCAGACTGAAAAATTATCTTTTTTAATAAATTTTAATTAATTTTAAAACTTTATTAAAAGGATATGTTTTAATAGGTGGCCAATCACACCTAGCCAAAAAAGATTGGTGGCGATTCCATTTTTTTTATTTCGTTTCTAAATTCGTCGGGCGGATACAAAACTGTTATGACAGCTTGGTGACTCTGTTGGGGATGCCTTTTATTTTCGAGAGTCAGGCCAAAATTAACTACTTGTTATCCTCAAATTTTGATTTAAACAGTCTTAATCAATTTCTTAAATTTTTATTTTTCATTTTTAGTAAAAAAGGTAAAAAAAAAACAAAACAAAATAAATCAAAAATAAAAAGCAAAAAAAACTCACACACATTTCTTTTACTATGCCTCTTATGTTTTATTTTTTTGTATATATTGCTATCAATAAATTAAGATATATTTGCACACAATGACACGATGCATCTCATACATGAGCTCTATACCCGGGGTCTGTCCTTTATAAGAGGAAGTAAAGTACCTATGCTCTCATGAGGTGATAACCTCCTTAATGGCAAGCGAAATACTTTCACTCGAATTGAACTCTTTCCGTTCGTAGCCTGTAATGGGTGAGGATCGGGGTGCCTTACTAGTCCAACATAGACGATAGTGAGGAACAATTTGAGAACCTTTAGACCCTGTCAATCTAAACCCAACATATAATAAGCCTAGGAAACCAACCTTATGTAGAGCCTTGTCCATCCTCTTGTAGGAAATACCTAAGAATAAAAGTTGTGTATAATACGAAACAAAACAAACAAACAAATCTAGAACAAAAAAAAAATAAAAAAAATAAAAAAATATTTTTTTTCTTAAACCACATCCTCACACTAACTCAATTTTGTTTCATTTTCTTTTTCTTTTTGCATTAATCATATCATACAGTTTTGCATCGAGATATTTGCTCTAGGACATATTTCTCCCAAGAAGTTTTCATGGATCTCATAAAACTACAAATTTACTCATCTTCAGTCAATGTGCCATGTGAGTCGTATAATGAAGTACATGTTTGGTTGAAAGTCATGCTCGCAAAACAGAGAAAAAAGCACTTCAAAGTATTGAATGAAAAAGAATCACTTCACCAGATGATCCAATGATTAGAGATACAACTACAAGACCACAAGAGCCATATTTCAGTAATGATAGATGAGTGACATAGAAGGGAAAAAGATTGGATTTTCACATGTGATTCAGAAAGAGATGCTCACATGAGATGAAAGGCAAAAAGCTTAGGGAGACAATAGTACGTAAAGCACTTGACTAATCAAGTTTGCAAGGGAATGAAGAAAGCATGGGAGATGGTTGAAAAGCTAAAAGCATTAAGAAGAGAAGTCAATCCCATAGGAGAATATGGACAGTGCCTAGTGAACTTTCTAGATGAGACAAAAAACTATTATGAACAAGTCAAATGCTTCTATGGATATAACTTTAGGATGGTAAATCCTATGTAATAAAAGTTGTATGGGATCAATAAAAATTTTTAATGCTGAAATTCTTCTAAAAGTAAATATCTCTCACTTGCATTCATACATCATATACATAATTTTTCATAAAATAAGTAAAAAATAAAATTTTAATTTTTTCTTTCTTTCTTCTTCAAAATAAAAACTTTGTGGTAATAAAGGTTCAAGAATAGCTCGCCTATAAAAAATTTTGACCCAATTTACTCGTCATTCATACAATACCAGGACACAGCCAAGAATCATAGAGCAAGAACAGGCCAGCCGATTTGAGAGAATTAAGAAAGCTTAAGAAGAGCTAAGAGGGGATCTCAGTACAATAATGGATATGCTTAAGAAACTTGACAAGAGAAAAGCAGTGGAAGAAAATCTTAGCTTTCAAGAACAATCGTTAGATATGATAGATCCTATCTATCCTTCAGGGTTTAAGCCACAACTGAACCAACCTTCACAAGGAACTAGAGTACCAATTCTTACTCCCGCTGGATATCCTAATCCTTATCCAAGAATGACATCCACACTTGCTCCAAGATAATTTCAAAATTTTGTTAATCCCATTATGATGGAAAAACCACCTGAGTCAATCTTAGTTCCTTATTTGGATGATCCCAAAGAAAGAGAAAAGCTAAGGATGCAGACAATTGAAAAAGTAAAAGATACTAGTGCCAAGGAGAAAATGAAGTTATTGGAAAAAAAGCTTAGGGCTGTAGAGGGAATGAATTTTTATGGCTCCACAGATGCGACTGACCTTTGTTTAGTTCCAGATGTGATTATTTCGCCTAAATTCAAGGTCCCTGAATTTGAAAAATATGATGGCATAAAATGTCCAATGACCCATATCACCATGTATTGTCGAAAGATGGTAGCATATGCTCACAATGAGAAGTTGTTAATATACATATTTCAAGATAGTCTTACGAGTTCTGTAGCTAGATGGTATGTCTAATTAAATAGGACTCGTGTTTATTTTTGGCAAGAGCTTACAAAGGCATTTCTTACACAATATCGACATGTCACGGATATGATTTCAGACGGTCTATCTCTACAAAGTATGAAAAAAAAGTAATTAAAAACTTTAAGGAGTATGCACAAAGATGAAGAGACGTGGTTGCACAAGTTCAACCTCCTCTCACTGAGAAAGAATAACTATATTATTTGCGAACACCTTG